GCAGCATTTGCTGTCTGGAAGATCCGACAGCTAACAGATGTGGACACTGCAAGACTGGTGTACTTCAGCTACTTTCATAGCATTATGTCGTATGGCATCTTGTTGTGGGGACAGGCTGCTGACATTGAGTCTATCTTTGTCTTGCAAAAGCGTGCCATCAGAGCTATTTACAATCTAAGGCGTCGTGAGTCTCTTAGAGAAAAGTTTAGAGAGATCAATATTATGACCGTGCCATGTCAGTTTATTTATGAAAACATTATGTATGTTAGGAAAAACTTAAAAATATTCGATAAGGTGTCAGATAGACATAATTATCAAACTAGACATAGAGATAGATTATGTCAGCCATTATTTAGATTGGCAAAGGTACATAAGTCGTTCATGGGATTCTGTGTTAAATGTTATAACAAAATCCCAGTCGAAATACAACAATTAAATGAAAGAAATTTTAAATTATGTGTAAAGAAAACTTTATGTAGAAAAGCATACTACACACTGAATGATTACATTGTAGATAAAGATGCTTGGAGACATGCTGGTCCTGCTCCACAGGATAGCAAACGTACACCAAAATAAATAACGTTCCAATGGATTTTGCTTGAACGGGACTTCTTCATTTTAGTGAAATTGCAATAAATTGTATAACTATAACTTGATAAATTTGTAAATGTGAGTGCCCTGTAACCTATTATAATTGGTTAGACTAGCAGAATGTCGGTCCTTATAACAGCTTGGAGTTGTCATGCTCACTGAAAGGTCACACTGGCGGTGGCATGGGCACTGGATCGCTTAATTCCCTATAATATGGTTGAGTTGGGCGATGCTGGTGTACGTGTCATGCTCGTGAACGAGCGCCGTCAGTTGGGACTGGTCAGCTCCAGACTGTCTATTGTCCTTAAGGTTACTTTATTTTTATATTTGAATAAATATTAGTGTTACACTGTTCTCACATAATTGAACCAACTGTTTGTAAAAGGAATCTGTATGTGAAACTGATTTAAAAAGAGTAACCATGGAGTTTCTTGCTCGTTCTTCTCCATCGGAATCTACACTTTGGAACGAGCAAATAGCTTTACTAAGAGGACTGACCGACAGACTGAGACTATTTTTTTATTTTATATTTTGTTTGACGTTCAAAAGTGCCTGTAAAGGTCTAATTGGAATAAATGATTTTTGACTTGACTTGAAAGAAAATTTTGTTAAAGAAATAAAGATTTTTGTATTTTTGTATGAAAATGGGAAGTTATTCAGGCATTCACACTCACTAGGGTACAACTATTTTACTAACAATTTAAAGGTGTAAGTGAAACAACAAACTGAACTAATAATAAAAATAAATTTAAATCTCACTATTCTTGCTGCTTAACTATTTGACGAAGAAAATGTTTTTCATGAAATGCAACTAATATTTTGCCTTACGTAAGTCAAATTCCTACGGACACGCTGTGATAGCTGCGGTACGACACCTCTTTGAGGAGTGACTTGAGAGACGCTACGCCGTCCTCAACTTGCGCGTGATGCAGGTGCTTATCGGGCACGACAGCTTCGGTAGGTTCCTGTTTTGGAGCCGGCGGGAGGGCAAGCCCGAGTGTCGTCATTCCGAGGACCACCCAGAGGACACGGTTGAGCATACTCGTACGGCAGCGGTGTGCCTTCCTTGGGCTGACCAACGCCGTATCCTCAGGGAAGTGATCGGCGTCGAGGCCATGGTGCGGAGCGAGGGAACTGGGAAGCCGTCTCCTCTTTCTGTGAAGAAGTTACGCTTGCAAAGAAGGAGGCGGACCGCGTGACGCAGCTATCCTCCTCCTCACGCTCCTCCCTCCTCAACACATCTTGCTCTCTACAGAAAGAAAACAATGAAAATTATAAATTAGCATTTGCAGTTTATTATCATAAACAAAACAAAAATTTATTAATTTGAATTAATATGTGAAATATATTATTATTTGCTTGTCTTAACTTTGATGATCCACAGATGTGTGTGGAGGTGTCAGTGAGCGCGGCCCAGGCGTGGCCCGCGCCGTCCGCCGCCGGGGCCGGGCCCTGCGAGCCCCCGGTGTACCCGCCGCGCACCCTCACTACTACGCCGCTGCACATTTTCGACGACGACAACGTCCTAAAAGTATCTATTCCATCCTCCTGTTCCAATGTATCACACAAAGTGTTCGCATTTGACTATGGCGAGACTCGTTAAACTCATTCCCTTCCTTAGACGGTCCAGCTGGTGCTGGAGCTAGAGTTCCCGATTCTTCGCGTACAGCCTGCTGTCATCGACTTCGGTATCGTTGCCGACGGAGATACCAGGAAGATGTTCTTCAGTGTGTCCCACACCAGCGGTAAGCCCGCGCGCTCGGTGGAAGCTTGTGATGTTGTAGATACCGTGTGGTGTCCCCATAATGCAAATATTTTTATTGATTTTTTATGCAAAATAAATGACTTACTTACTTACTTACTTATGTTTCAGCCACCGTAACACTCGACATTGCAACTCAATGGATAGGTGGCAGCGAATTTAAGATTTGGCCGCCATTTTTGAGAATAGCCCCTGGATGTAGCGCTAATGTGTACCTACAATATGCGGCTATGTAATTTCTAATTTTCTAGCTTTTACGTTCTAGACCTAATATTATGTATTTACTATTAGGTATTAAAATGCAAATACTTACAATATTATTTTAGTACAAGTTTGAAATGTTTACGTTGGGAAAAGCCATTTCATAAAACATAAATTTATTTTTTTATTTATTTATTTATTAGGCTAGCCAACAGTTATGTACACTGTAACATTTATGAGATACAAAAATATAAGAAATACATTTGTAAGTGCAATAACTACTTACTGGCTTACACAACATGCACAGAATAACGATTAACATTCAATAGTAATTATTATATAATAGTAGTATTTTAAATTAATACAAAAAGACATTAACAATAAAAGATTCATGAAGCATACATGGACTTATGTAGCATTAAAACCGACCTACAAATAAAAATAAAAATCTATAAAAACAAATAAATCAATTAATTATTTAACTGCACGGTTGGTGCGGTGGCCAGGCAGCTGGCTACCGCAGTGTAGGACAACGATTTTTTTTAAATAAATAAAATTATAAATTATTGAAATTGTTATTGAATTTAAATTATCATGATTTAATTGACATATTTAATTTAATTTAAATTTCAGGTAGCCATCAGAACACAGTTGAATCATTGTTTTACTAAATTTCCCGATGCTGTCATGGTGTATGTCGAATAAAGAAAGAAGTTATATGATGGACCTCATTACTTTCATTTGTTTATCTTAATGTAACACAAAGCATAGACTTCAATCAACTGAACATGTTCCAGATGGCGAGCGGCTCCCTCGGAGGGTTGTGCGCATCTATTTGTGTGCAGCAGGGCGGAGATGGAGTTGCGGGTGTGTGAGGCCCAGCCGGCGCCGGGCCCGGAGGCGGCGCGCGCGTCGTGGTGCCGCGCGGCGGTGGCGGTGCGCGCGGCGCCGGCGCGGGAGCACACGTTCCACGAGCCGCAGCACGACCACACGGACGACGCGCACCTGCTGCCGCCGCGCTACAAGCTCTGCCCCGCCGCCGCCGCACACCTGCAATGAAACAACTTACTTACTGCTGCCAAACAGTACAATTATACTACATAATTATGTGAAGGAGTATCTAGTCACATTGTTAGAATTTTCAAAACGCGACAATAAATGAGTCACTTCAAATGTAGTTTGAATTCAACACTTTAATATTATATCTACGTTAACATTAAATGTAACACAAAACAAGATATTATGTATTATTACACGCCGGTGTTCTATGGGGCCATAGGCCATGTGAGGTTCGGTGAGTGATGCCACACTCACGTCGAGCAAATCAAAAGTAGTGACGGAGCTGTATCTACCATTGTTAAACATTTAACTCCAAGCTATAATTTTTGTTGACGCTGGTGGCGGCAAGTAGTGTTATCTATAGTTCGTGCCATAATTAGAGACAACGATTTGACATTTCGAGTGTTGCAAGTTTTTTCCATTTCATAAATAGTGAAGTCCCGCGACCGGTATTGACCGAAAGACCGAAATTAAATTCTGAACTTCGTGCATTTTAAAAGCTTTATTATTTTTAGCTACTTTCCCTGGTACCTTCCTGTGCCCACACTAACTCAGTCGGGTTAAAATCACAATGGTAAGGAGGCAACCGTTAAATAGTGACCCCCCTTTTAGCAGCCATCAGTCCACGACGTATCATTCAAAATTATTCTTCTCTTTCCGGGAAATCTCCAACAGCTCGGCTTTTAGCATAGGTCCTCAAATATAATGTTTTTCTTTTAGCCAGTCTTGGATTTCGCATTTTTATTTTAAATTATTATTATTAATTCGACTAAACTATAAAAAACATCACCGCAATGTTGTTTTATTTTGCTCAGGATATTTTATAAAAAAACGGTATCGGTATTTTATTTAAAACATCGTACTCGGGCCCATCACTATGTTGAAAAATCTGGCCACATTATTTTGTAGTTTGACATTTGCTGTTGTCAAATTGTTGTCTCTAATTATTGGAACGAACTATACATAGGGTATATCGGACTGTCTACGTCAAACGCACATGACATATATTGAAAGATGAGTCGCGCGTTGTCTCGTCATATGGATGACTTTAACTTTGTTACGAATATATAATTGTTTTGTTGAAAATTGGTATACAGTGAGGTTGCTTAGAACTGGGAGAAGGACATAGGACAGGCTATGTGTAGGGTACATAGGGTAATTAGGTTAGGTAGTGTAGGTAGTCAAATGACGGGTTAAAAAGGTCACGTACCTCTCAATAGAGGGCTCTGGAGTTGGTCTATCACGAGGTACCGGTGTCCCTTATAGGTGTTGCTGGTGGCCACCGGGGAGGTTTTAGTGAGGTCAAAATCCCACACTCCCTAGTCTTTTTCCCTAAAAGCTAGGCGCCTTTTAAAGGTTTCCCCCCGGTAACAAAAAAGGTAGTCAAATGACGGTGCGAGGCCTGCGGGTAAGAGCTAGTATAAATTTAGATTTTTTGGTAATGCCAAAAATATTAGACAAAAATGGAGCAGGTAGCGGAATATTAAAAGTTAATTTGCAAGTTTACTGTAAAATAAATCTCACAGCAGCCCAAATCACTTAACTTCAACAGCATCCCACGGCGCAGCTTCATTGTGCGCCGTAGCTTCGTCCCAAGTCGTAGCTTTGTTCCACATGTTAGATTCCTTATACTTTGCAGCTTCATCTTCCGTTTTATTTTATGTGGCACACTGTCAAACGTGCTGTCATATAAACTTCTTACTTTATTGACACGGTGAAACATATGCAACATTGTAGCTTGGATGTACGTCGTAACTTCGTTCTACATCGTAGCTTTGTTCTCCATCGTAGCTTAATTCTACGTCATAGATTGTACATCTGTTTTACACCGTACCGCAGCTATGTTCTTCCATCGTAGCTTGGTTCTACTTCGGAGGCCTATTCTACATCGTAGCTTTGTTAATCGTCGTAAATCCGTTTTATACCGTAGCTTTAGTCTACGTTGAAGCTTTGTCCTACGTCGTTGCTTTGATCTACGTCCTTGTTTATTCTGCGTCGTAACTCTATTCTCTGTCGTAGCTTGTTCTACATCGTAGCTTTGTTCTTCGTCGTACTTTGGTTCTACGTCGTAGCTCTGTTTAGCTCTGTAGCTTTGTTCTACGTCGTAACTCTGTTTAGCTCTGTAGCTTTGTTCTACGTCGTAGCTCGATTCTACGTCATAGCGGTGTTATGCTTCGTAGCTTTGTTCTACGTCGTAACTCTGTTTTGCTTCGTAGCTTTGTTCTACGTCGTAACTCTGTTTAGCTCTGTAGCTTTGTTCTACGTCGTAGCTCGATTCTACGTCATAGCGGTGTTATGCTTCGTAGCTTTGTTCTACGTCGTAACTCTGTTTAGCTCTGTAGCTTTGTTCTACGTCGTAGCTCGATTCTACGTCATAGCGGTGTTATGCTTCGTAGCTTTGTTCTACGTCGTAACTCTGTTTAGCTCTGTAGCTTTGTTCTACGTCGTAGCTCGATTCTACGTCATAGCGGTGTTATGCTTCGTAGCTTTGTTCTACGTCGTAACTCTGTTATGCTTCGTAGCTTTGTTCTACGTCGTAACTCTGTTATGCTTCGTAGCTTTGTTCTCCGTCGTAACTCTGTTTAGCTCTGTAGCTTTGTTCTACGTCGTAGCTCGATTCTACGTCATAGCGGTGTTATGCTTCGTAGCTTTGTTCTACGTCGTAACTCTGTTATGCTTCGTAGCTTTGTTCTACGTCGTAACTCTGTTATGCTTCGTAGCTTTGTTCTCCGTCGTAACTCTGTTTAGCTCTGTAGCTTTGTTCTACGTCGTAGCTCGATTCTACGTCATAGCGGTGTTATGCTTCGTAGCTTTGTTCTACGTCGTAACTCTGTTATGCTTCGTAGCTTTGTTCTACGTCGTAACTCTGTTATGCTTCGTAGCTTTGTTCTCCGTCGTAACTCTGTTTAGCTCTGTAGCTTTGTTCTACGTCGTAGCTCGATTCTACGTCATAGCGGTGTTATGCTTCGTAGCTTTGTTCTACGTCGTAACTCTGTTATGCTTCGTAGCTTTGTTCTACGTCGTAACTCTGTTATGCTTCGTAGCTTTGTTCTCCGTCGTAACTCTGTTTAGCTCTGTAGCTTTGTTCTACGTCGTAGCTCGATTCTACGTCATAGCGGTGTTATGCTTCGTAGCTTTGTTCTCCGTCGTAACTCTGTTTTGCTCCGTAGCTTTGTTCTACGTCGTAACTCTGTTTTGCTCCGTAGCTTTGTTCTACGTCGTAACTCTGTTTAGCTCTGTAGCTTTGTTCTCCGTCGTAACTCTGTTTTGCTTCGTAGCTTTGTTCTACGTCGTAACTCTGTTTTGCTCCGTAGCTTTGTTCTACGTCGTAACTCTGTTTTGCTTCGTAGCTTTGTTCTCCGTCGTAACTCTGTTTTGCTCCGTAGCTTTGTTCTACGTCGTAACTCTGTTTTGCTCCGTAGCTTTGTTCTACGTCGTAACTCTGTTTAGCTCTGTAGCTTTGTTCTACGTCGTAGCTCGATTCTACGTCATAGCGGTGTTATGCTTCGTAGCTTTGTTCTCCGTCGTAACTCTGTTTTGCTCCGTAGCTTTGTTCTACGTCGTAACTCTGTTTTGCTTCGTAGCTTTGTTCTCCGTCGTAACTCTGTTTTGCTTCGTAGCTTTGTTCTACGTCGTAACTCTGTTTTGCTTCGTAGCTTTGTTCTACGTCGTAACTCTGTTTTGCTCCGTAGCTTTGTTCTACGTCGTAACTCTGTTTTGCTTCGTAGCTTTGTTCTACGTCGTAACTCTGTTTTGCTTCGTAGCTTTGTTCTACGTCGTAACTCTGTTTTGCTCCGTAGCTTTGTTCTACGTCGTAACTCTGTTTTGCTTCGTAGCTTTGTTCTCCGTCGTAACTCTGTTTTGCTTCGTAGCTTTGTTCTCCGTCGTAACTCTGTTTTGCTTCGTAGCTTTGTTCTACGTCGTAACTCTGTTTTGCTCCGTAGCTCGATTCTACGTCATAGCGGTGTTATGCTTCGTAGCTTTGTTCTACGTCGTAACTCTGTTTAGCTCTGTAGCTTTGTTCTACGTCGTAGCTCGATTCTACGTCATAGCGGTGTTATGCTTCGTAGCTTTGTTCTACGTCGTAACTCTGTTTAGCTCTGTAGCTTTGTTCTACGTCGTAGCTCGATTCTACGTCATAGCGGTGTTATGCTTCGTAGCTTTGTTCTACGTCGTAACTCTGTTATGCTTCGTAGCTTTGTTCTACGTCGTAACTCTGTTATGCTTCGTAGCTTTGTTCTCCGTCGTAACTCTGTTTAGCTCTGTAGCTTTGTTCTACGTCGTAGCTCGATTCTACGTCATAGCGGTGTTATGCTTCGTAGCTTTGTTCTACGTCGTAGCTCGATTCTACGTCATAGCGGTGTTATGCTTCGTAGCTTTGTTCTCCGTCGTAACTCTGTTTTGCTCCGTAGCTTTGTTCTACGTCGTAACTCTGTTTTGCTTCGTAGCTTTGTTCTCCGTCGTAACTCTGTTTTGCTTCGTAGCTTTGTTCTACGTCGTAACTCTGTTTTGCTTCGTAGCTTTGTTCTACGTCGTAACTCTGTTTTGCTCCGTAGCTTTGTTCTACGTCGTAACTCTGTTTTGCTTCGTAGCTTTGTTCTACGTCGTAACTCTGTTTTGCTTCGTAGCTTTGTTCTACGTCGTAACTCTGTTTTGCTCCGTAGCTTTGTTCTACGTCGTAACTCTGTTTTGCTTCGTAGCTTTGTTCTCCGTCGTAACTCTGTTTTGCTTCGTAGCTTTGTTCTCCGTCGTAACTCTGTTTTGCTTCGTAGCTTTGTTCTACGTCGTAACTCTGTTTTGCTCCGTAGCTCGATTCTACGTCATAGCGGTGTTATGCTTCGTAGCTTTGTTCTACGTCGTAACTCTGTTTAGCTCTGTAGCTTTGTTCTACGTCGTAGCTCGATTCTACGTCATAGCGGTGTTATGCTTCGTAGCTTTGTTCTACGTCGTAACTCTGTTTAGCTCTGTAGCTTTGTTCTACGTCGTAGCTCGATTCTACGTCATAGCGGTGTTATGCTTCGTAGCTTTGTTCTACGTCGTAACTCTGTTATGCTTCGTAGCTTTGTTCTACGTCGTAACTCTGTTATGCTTCGTAGCTTTGTTCTCCGTCGTAACTCTGTTTAGCTCTGTAGCTTTGTTCTACGTCGTAGCTCGATTCTACGTCATAGCGGTGTTATGCTTCGTAGCTTTGTTCTACGTCGTAACTCTGTTATGCTTCGTAGCTTTGTTCTCCGTCGTAACTCTGTTTAGCTCTGTAGCTTTGTTCTACGTCGTAGCTCGATTCTACGTCATAGCGGTGTTATGCTTCGTAGCTTTGTTCTCCGTCGTAACTCTGTTTTGCTCCGTAGCTTTGTTCTACGTCGTAACTCTGTTTTGCTCCGTAGCTTTGTTCTACGTCGTAACTCTGTTTAGCTCTGTAGCTTTGTTCTCCGTCGTAACTCTGTTTTGCTTCGTAGCTTTGTTCTCCGTCGTAACTCTGTTTTGCTCCGTAGCTTTGTTCTACGTCGTAACTCTGTTTTGCTCCGTAGCTTTGTTCTACGTCGTAACTCTGTTTAGCTCTGTAGCTTTGTTCTACGTCGTAGCTCGATTCTACGTCATAGCGGTGTTATGCTTCGTAGCTTTGTTCTCCGTCGTAACTCTGTTTTGCTCCGTAGCTTTGTTCTACGTCGTAACTCTGTTTTGCTTCGTAGCTTTGTTCTCCGTCGTAACTCTGTTTTGCTTCGTAGCTTTGTTCTACGTCGTAACTCTGTTTTGCTTCGTAGCTTTGTTCTACGTCGTAACTCTGTTTTGCTCCGTAGCTTTGTTCTACGTCGTAACTCTGTTTTGCTTCGTAGCTTTGTTCTCCGTCGTAACTCTGTTTTGCTTCGTAGCTTTGTTCTCCGTCGTAACTCTGTTTTGCTTCGTAGCTTTGTTCTACGTCGTAACTCTGTTTTGCTCCGTAGCTCGATTCTACGTCATAGCGGTGTTATGCTTCGTAGCTTTGTTCTCCGTCGTAACTCTGTTTTGCTTCGTAGCTTTGTTCTCCGTCGTAACTCTGTTTTGCTCCGTAGCTTTGTTCTACGTCGTAACTCTGTTTTGCTTCGTAGCTTTGTTCTCCGTCGTAACTCTGTTTTGCTTCGTAGCTTTGTTCTACGTCGTAACTCTGTTTTGCTTCGTAGCTTTGTTCTCCGTCGTAACTCTGTTTTGCTCCGTAGCTTTGTTCTCCGTCGTAACTCTGTTTTGCTCCGTAGCTTTGTTCTACGTCGTAACTCTGTTTAGCTCTGTAGCTTTGTTCTACGTCGTAACTCTGTTTTGCTCTGTAGCTTTGTTCTACGTCGTAACTCTGTTTTGCTTCGTAGCTTTGTTCTCCGTCGTAACTCTGTTTTGCTTCGTAGCTTTGTTCTACATCGTAACTCTGTTTTGCTCCGTAGCTTTGTTCTACGTCGTAACTCTGTTTTGCTCTGTAGCTTTGTTCTACGTCGTAACTCTGTTTTGCTTCGTAGCTTTGTTCTCCGTCGTAACTCTGTTTTGCTCTGTAGCTTTGTTCTCCGTCGTAACTCTGTTTAGCTCTGTAGCTTTGTTCTACGTCGTAGCTCGATTCTACGTCATAGCGGTGTTATGCTTCGTAGCTTTGTTCTCCGTCGTAACTCTGTTTTGCTCTGTAGCTTTATTCTCCGTCGTAACTCTGTTTTGCTTCGTAGCTTTGTTCTCCGTCGTAACTCTGTTTAGCTCTGTAGCTTTGATCTACGTCGTAGCTCGATTCTACGTCATAGCGGTGTTATGCTTCGTAGCTTTGTTCTCCGTCGTAACTCTGTTTTGCTTCGTAGCTTTGTTCTACGTCGTAACTCTGTTTTGCTTCGTAGCTTTGTTCTCCGTCGTAACTCTGTTTAGCTCTGTAGCTTTGATCTACGTCGTAGCTCGATTCTACGTCATAGCGGTGTTATGCTTCGTAGCTTTGTTCTCCGTCGTAACTCTGTTTTGCTCTGTAGCTTTGTTCTCCGTCGTAACTCTGTTTAGCTCTGTAGCTTTGATCTACGTCGTAGCTCGATTCTACGTCATAGCGGTGTTATGCTTCGTAGCTTTGTTCTACGTCGTAACTCTGTTTAGCTCTGTAGCTTTGTTCTACGTCGTAACTCTGTTTAGCTCTGTAGCTTTGTTCTACGTCGTAACTCTGTTTTGCTTCGTAGCTTTGTTCAACGTCGTAACTCTGTTTAGCTCTGTAGCTTTGTTCTCCGTCGTAACTCTGTTTAGCTCTGTAGCTTTGTTCTACGTCGTAGCTCGATTCTACGTCATAGCGGTGTTATGCTTCGTAGCTTTGTTCTACGTCGTAACTCTGTTTAGCTCTGTAGCTTTGTTCTACGTCGTAGCTCGATTCTACGTCATAGCGGTGTTATGCTTCGTAGCTTTGTTCTACGTCGTAACTCTGTTTAGCTCTGTAGCTTTGTTCTACGTCGTAGCTCGATTCTACGTCATAGCGGTGTTATGCTTCGTAGCTTTGTTCTCCGTCGTAACTCTGTTTTGCTTCGTAGCTTTGTTCTACGTCGTAACTCTGTTTTGCTTCGTAGCTTTGTTCAACGTCGTAACTCTGTTTAGCTCTGTAGCTTTGTTCTACGTCGTAACTCTGTTTAGCTCTGTAGCTTTGTTCTACGTCGTAGCTCTGTTTAGCTCTGTAGCTTTGTTCTACGTCGTAGCTCGATTCTACGTCATAGCGGTGTTATGCTTCGTAGCTTTGTTCTCCGTCGTAACTCTGTTTAGCTCTGTAGCTTTGTTCTACGTCGTAGCTCGATTCTACGTCATAGCGGTGTTATGCTTCGTAGCTTTGTTCTACGTCGTAACTCTGTTTTGCTTCGTAGCTTTGTTCTACGTCGTAACTCTGTTTTGCTTCGTAGCTTTGTTCTCCGTCGTAACTCTGTTTTGCTTCGTAGCTTTGTTCTACGTCGTAACTCTGTTTTGCTTCGTAGCTTTGTTCTACGTCGTAACTCTGTTTTGCTTCGTAGCTTTGTTCTACGTCGTAACTCTGTTTTGCTCCGTAGCTTTGTTCTACAGCGTAAACTCCATCGTAGCTTGCCATAACGTCGCAGGCTAGTTCTACGTCGTAGTCTTCTTGTTCTACGTCGTAGCCTTGTTTTACGTCGTTGCTTTACTCTTTATCGTAGCTTAATTCTATGTGGTAGGCCTGCTCTAGGTCTCACTGCCGTGGTGTTTCGCCGTATGGGTGAGGTTACCAACGGCCCAATCGTTCCCCTCCACCAATCCCTCCCCAATCCCAAAATCTTCAAATTCCTAATCCCCAAAAGATAGGCAACGCACTCGTACACCAGTGTGCTTGTCAAGGGCGAGGAGTTGAGTTCTGTAGATACAGCTGTCTTTTTAGGTCCTAGGTTAACCCTGGACTCTAAGCTCCAGTAGGGCCATACATAGATGGTTTGTCGAAGAAGCTAAGTTCTGCAATGACAGTTGCCTCACAATATATTTATGAAAATGTAATTCACGCTCATAAAAACATACGCTTATTTAAGAAGTATAATGATATACATAATATTACCAAGAGGGGTTAAAACAAATTTCCTGTGCCTGCCTCCAGGCTTCAGAAAATAAGTGGTTTGTTTAGATGTCAATGTAAACGCTTTTACAATAAAATTCCTAGCGATATTCAAAATTTGAGTTTCAATAAATTTAAAAGTGTAATAAAGGCTAAACTTTACTGTAAAGCATTTTATAAAATAAAAGACTACTTAGAAGGTAGTAAAGCTTGGGAATGCGCCGCTGTAACGTCTGCACAGGTCATGTTGACATGTTTGTGACATAAGTTGCACTTGTTATATACAATTTGACATTGTTTTTCTTATACAACGGCATTATCTCCTATTATGACATATATTGTGTTTATTTTTTTCATTTTACATCTTTTATTTTATTTATTGTCATTTTTATTATATTCTATTATTGTTAGTGTAAGGACCGTGTGAGACTTTGCCGCGCTTTTTGACTACGAGTTATCTGCGTTCTGACAGTTTGAGTACTTGCGCGACCCACCCAAATGTTCTTTAGATCGGTATTAGCACTAGCTATAATAATACTGGTTGCAAACTGACACTTGCATGCCTGTCTTCAGAACGGTTCCACTTAAACTAGTGTCGTTCTTTCCTCAAAAGACCACTACAGAATGAACTTGCACGGTTCGCTCACATTATGTTATTTTACATTGTCTGGACTTGAAAAGAGACTGACCTCTGAGTTTGTTTCGGCGTTTCTTCTCAGAATAGTCAGATAGGAAATGTGCCGCCGTGAGGAGTTATAGCAACGAGCATATAACCACTAGAGAGCTTATAGGCCGTTTTCTTGTAACAACACGACTCACCACCGCGGGCCGGGGGACAAGGATTAACGCGCGACTGCAATTGGTCAATACAAGGTCAAGTTGCGTAGGTATGGCTGTTGTTAGGGGTGATCTACTTGATTTAAGGGAAAATAGACAATACGGAATTGACAATACGTTATGTATTATCTATTCATTTTTCTCTAAGTTCCGGAATCTACGGAAATGTAAAATGAAAACATACAAGGATGTCAAAGACACAGACGAATAAAACTTTAACAAAGATATTTTTTTTTCCAAATTAGAAAAAATTCTTTTTATAAGTGTGTAGAAAAAATAATTACCTATATTTTTGAACAAAAAATGTACTTCATTTAATTCTATTATTATCGATATCGATTCCATCTCATCAAAATTTTAAAATAACAGAACTTATATTTACGATAAATTACAAAGGGAAAGAAAGGGATAGCAGCATTAGAAATGATTGGTGAAAGAACGAGACGTTTACAAAAGACATCAACGTGCGTATCATTAGTGTGCTTTTTCGAGCTGCGGAAGTTGATTCAATATTTTGGAAAAGCGGGCTATCCGAGCGATATATAACTTGGCCCCTCGTGAATCTCTGAGAGAACTATTTAAAACGATAAATATCCTACCGGTACCTTTTCAGTTTATATATGAAAATATTATGTACGTAAGGAAAAATTTGCAATTAAGTATTTGAAAAAAGAAGCGAATGACATAATTTTAACACTAGAGGCAAAGATAGGCTGGCTTTATGGGGTTCTGTGTAAATTATTACAATAAAATTCCAAGAAATGTATAAAATCTTAACGAACGAAAATTTAAAACTTATATTAAACGCGAATTGTATAGACAGGCATACTACAAACTTTCAGATTATATTGAGGATAAGAATGCCTGGCAGCATGTTGGTTCGGTTCTACTGGACAATACTCAAAATGTGTATTCAGTAGTTACTAAAATTAATGAAATCTTGAATGAGTTTATATAGAAGAATTCTTTTGGATTGTAAGTACGCATATGTGAGCGCCATGTTCGAGACGACAAAGGATAAAAATTTTAATGATAGATTAGACAGACCATCATTTGTTCCTTTTTATTAACAACTTGTCTCTGCATAGTTCTCACATAGGGGTACAGTAATGTATAAAAATGGATCATTAGTGAATTGTAAAACAAATAATATGTTTTTTCAAAGAGTAACGATGGAGTTTCTTGCTCGTTCTTCTCCATTCGAATCTACAATTTGGAACGAGCACCTAGCTTTACTGACGAACAGACTGACAGACTACTATTCTATTTTGACGTTTCAAAAGTACCTTTTTATGGTTTAGTTGGAATAAATGATTTTGATGAGATGAGAGGCCGCGTATATCATATAGTTTTTTTAAAGAAAGTTATGAATTAAATTATTTGTCCTTGCATTATGACGAAAAATAAAGGTTTTTGAAAAGAAATAAATATAGAAATGTAATCAACTTTATTTATTTCTAGTCAACAATAATATTTGGCTTGAATTTTGGAAAAAAATCAGACTCTTTGTTATAAAAATCACAAACATCAAAAATACTCCTCTCACAATAACAAAAAATTGTATTTCTCACTTACGACTAATGTAACTCTTAGAAAAAAAATACAGTAAGAACATAAACCTTCTGAAAAAGAAATGTCCACAGTCCAACTACACCTTCAATTCTAAGCACAGTCAGGGTGCACTTGTTTCGCGTACTGCAAACAAACGTGTTTTTTTTTCTTATTTAAAACGTTGCCTCACATTAGGATTTTCTCTTGTGTCGTGGGTGCGTTTACAAACATACAATTTCACATACACATGACACCCAGACCCGGAACAACAATTTGTGGATCACACAAAGAGTTGTTCCGTGCGGGAATCGAACCCGCGACACGTTGCACGGCAGCCAGTTGCCCAGCCACCGCACCAACCGTGTAGTCGTGAACGTGTGTGTGAAACGTGTTTTTTGCACGAATAACATTTATAAGTCGATTTTCTTTTCAACTTAGGTGGACATGAAAGACATGTCTTACGTGTCTTGACTTCCTTATTTTATCAGAACCAAGTACTAATTCTAAGTTCATGGGGCAACCTTAGGTTACAAAATCTTCGCTTTATATGCCAACCAAACCTAATACCAAACCTAATACCAACTGTCGAGCTAAATTTTTTTTATGAAGTCTCCTCTGTCAGTTTGTCTTCCCACATGTATATCATGTAAAAGATGAGATTTGACGGAACTAATATCCAAAATCCGGTAAAAATTTGTCATAGCCCCAAGATCCAGTGTCTTGATCGGCGGCTGCAAGTGTACACAGAGCACTTATCTATTTCATCTATTGTGGAGCAGAATTTCGGCTTTCGTAGAATTATAAAACTATAATTTCTGGCTTTCCTGAGTCCGTGCTTTTTCCTTCATAACGATGCATTGATGAAGATAAAATGACCGCTCTTTTCTTCTTGGGAACATTTTAGACAATAACGTTGTATCTTTTGTGAAAACCATATAAGGTTGATTTTTCTGGTCGCACAACTATTTCACTTATTAGCGGAAGTCCCTGGTGTATCCATAGTTCATAATATCTGTGAAAATATTAGTCAGCTATACCAAAAAATAACTTACGTAAGTACCGACGTGAGGCCTGAGAGGCCACGTCGGAATTTCAAAACGTTTTTACTCACCAAATACGCATGCGACAATAACACTGCCTGTTGCAACGTCAACATGGGCACTAAACTTACAGCTACTTAAAATCGGGGATTGGTATTTTGCGGGGTAAAGGGTAAACTAACAAGTCAAGTACCTGCCGGGGCCTCTCAGACCGCACGTCGGTACTTAAAGGTTGACTACCGATGAGACAATACTTATAAACCGATGAAAAGTAATGAAATCTTTTTTGTACCTAGATATCTTGGAATGTTTCCTACACTACACTACCGCGCATGAAGGCATTTTGATGCGATAAAATTGCAATAATAAGGAAGGAAAAATGATTTTATTTTGCGTGCGTAGAGGTCTGAGTAGTACCGAGGCGAGCGTCGGGACACTGTATGCGCCGTCAAGTGGTTATATCATCATTGAGCTATAGCATAATAAGACTTTATATCCATAATTCACCCAGTAATTTTAATTATAATTAGGGTCGTTAAAATAGCCGTAGATTATATTATTATAATAAGATGGTGTAGACACTGACTGGACCTCCAGTTAGTGAAGGCCTCCCACCCGTGCTACTCAAGTGTTCACAGCGTAACAAAAATAATCTTCATCAAAGTATACTTAATTTTTTCAAATAAGATTTTAGTGTGGATTGTTGGTATGATGTAAGCTCCTTATTACGTTTTACATAATCTTTGTAGAAATGGAGAGTACCAAACTTACATATATAATTTTTATCAAGTAGCGATCATAGTTGTAGTATGTTTTGCTTAACCAACGTCCAGCAGGCAGATGTCGGCGGCGGAGTGCCGGCGGCACCGCGCTCCCCGCCGCGCCGCCGCCGCCGCCGCGTTCCGCCGCCGCGCCGGCACTCCGCGGCCGTACTCCGCGCTGCGCGCCGCCCGCTCTCGCGGTATAGTGTTGACGCCGCGACGCCGCGCGGTCAACCACGACACTTCGTTTGTTTTGTAAATAACGCTCCACGTGCACCAAATCTGTCAACCGCTCCGACTACACCGCGTCCTCACTGTTATTTATCTACTATTTCGATATTTACTTTTTTATTTA